ATAATTTTATTTTCATACACACTTAAACATACTAAGAGTACACGTAATCTCGTGCAGTGGTAGTATTACTTCAGTACTATGATCATGGTCCTTGGTCGTACAGCAGGAGTTTGTGTGGTGGGGATTTACATAGAAATACTAGTACTAGTAAAGTGGTGGTTCTTGGGTAGTACTAGTACTAGTAGTACTGGGTTGTTGGATTTTTTCAACTGTTATTTTCCTGCTGGAATATTAGGACATTGTTGCAAGTCAAATTTTGCTGGTGAGTAGTGGGGTTGGGGTTGCAGGCTATGGGGTAGTACTAGGTTGGGGTCATTAGGTACTGGTGGGTTGAATCATTTTGACTGTTAATTTCCGGGAATAGTGGGATATGATAGAGACCAAGAAACCGACGGCTTCAAATGTATTGAATCTTCATGGTCCAAACGGCCATGACAAGTGATTGCGAATCAAGCGGTTCTCTGCCGTCATTTACAAAAACAGGTCAGCTTAAAAAGAAGGCATTGCTGGGAACTGGAACGTAATGACCGGCAGTTTACGGATCGGCATGGGAATGAGAATTTTATTGAGCTTAATTTTGGTCGATCTTTTGGACTCTTTCACTTATGAGACTCTTATTATTGTACTACACTTTCTCTCAGATTCCTTTGTCAATAGGTGAAGAATCCCCGCAACATTCTTTGAATGAGTGTAACCTTGAATTTGTTGGACTTGCGAACCTAAGAGCTTATCTCTTTTTCTTACAATGACCTTTGTATTCTTCTTCGCTTAATTTGTTAACGTTACTCTAATATTCGTTATAACCTTAAGTATGATGCAAAATCCATCTTAATTCACAAAAACTGCTGACTCTCTGCTACGACCAGTACCTGGTACGGTATTTGCACGTTAAAAATTACGGGAATTCAAAAAAGTCGTAATTGCATCACTCGCCACATGAGGGGCCCGAGAACACGCAACTTTGACACAGGTCAACGAACTCCGGGTGTAGCAGAGACAGAGAACTAGGCTGGTGCGACTTGATCCGTTGTACATCATTCGGAGCAGAGCGGATAGTAAAACCTCATTTTACCTCGCACTCAGTCTACGTCTATTTACACAACCGTACATGGTTCACACGGAATGCTAGCAACCTAAGGTATTGGATAAGGATTAGTGCGATTGCTAGGCAGCATAATGATGCAATCAAGATGGGTAAAACTGTCGAATATTCTCTTGTTTATTGGAATTTATTACATTCATTTTCCACACTCGGGTCGCGTCCGTGCATCAAGCACAACATATTCTAGCAAAAGACAGAATGTTTCCAGGCGCTTGCATGCATCGAACAAAACGAATTCTAGTAGAAGGAATAATGATTCAAGGCACGTGCGTGCGTCGAACACGACGAATCCTAGTATGAGGCAGAATTATGCATATGATTTATACCCCCGAGAGCTCGTTGGTCTAGAAGAAAAATGGAATTTGACGCAAAATGGAGCTGACTTCCAGGGTATGAAATACCGACTGAAGTACATTGTGAGCGACTTTATTCTGGAATCTATGTTAAGGACCGTTGCCTATACTGAAGAATGCGAAGAAGGAGGTGTCGAAATCCCATCTTCCCATATGACTTATGAAGTTACTTTCGATGACACACCTCCTGGAGATGGAGGTTTGGAAAGGACTTTTAATATCCAAACAGAGGTCAATCCAGGAGTTGAGGACTCTCTCGTTTACAAGACCGTAATCGATCCAGAAACCGGAGCCAAACTAGCTGAGGTCCGTTTCTGTATGTTGACAGTACTTCGGACGAATACACCTAACCCAATTGGAGTCAATTTTTTGGAAACCGTGGTTGGTTTCACAGCTAATTTGACATCCGGATTCGGGGTCTCAGCCAATGTGGGGCCAAAAGAAAAGATTGTAACAACCGCTGCAGAAAGTTACAACGTAAATGCTTACCTATGTGATGAATACAATGAAGAACTAACGGGCTCGGCGTTGACCAACGCTAGGACACAAGGGCAAATTGTACGGGCCTGCGTAACACCAGATCAAGATGCTCGAGACGATGGCGTTTTTATGAAAGCCATTCAAGACTTCACCTGGTTTAGGGATTACGGAGGAGGACTGGGAATGGTCTCGCAAGTTGCAGTACAGGATTCACAGGCAGCTTCGAATTTATTGACCATACTGTATTGTACACCGGGTAGCATTACCTGCGCTTTTGAATCGATTCTGTTTGCATCTATGTTTTTAACACCAGGTGACGTTTCTGGGACTGGAACAGCTCTTTTGCAACTCGGTGATAGTTCCGAAGAAAGAAAGCGCAGAGGCCTAGAGAGCTCATCATTATCTCGGTCATTACAAGATGCCGGTGATCTTCCCGCGACAGACTTTGGTCTCGAGTTCGACCTCCGATTAGGGGAAGAATATACAGGAACGTTGAAAACAGCCTCTTCTCCAAAACTTGAACTGATGCATTCGATTGCTACCATGGGGACGATTGCGTTGATAAATTTGTTGTAAAAATATTATCTCAGACTTCCCGCTACCAAGCTAACTCAGTTTGCAGATCCCCCAGCTAAGTATAGATTAATTAGAATAAAATAGAATACAACAGAGAAACTAGCCATAATAGCTCTCAAACATTGCAGTATTATAGTTGTACTCAACAATTTATTCGAAGACTCGTCGCAAACATGTGTCCGCACTGTCTCATGAAATGATCTTTATAGCAGCATCAACAAACCGATCGATGGTGTGTTGCACATCGTCAACGGTGTTTGTTTCGTAATACCACGTAGCCATTGCCGAATGTTCTAGAGCACACATGTCAAGCATCAAAGCAATCATCCAGCTATCCGGGGTAATATTTGGTTTCGGTATTCGAACAAAAGCACCTCTATCGTTAATGTGCCGCGGCAGCAACCATGCATAACTTCCTCTTTTTTGTTCATCAATAGGTTTAGGAACAAAATGAGCAATTCTACTCAGCACAAAACACGCTTGGTTGTAGGAAAACCATAAGTCTTCGTCCCAGCCTAGCCATTTTTCTACTGCCAGCTGTTGCCACTCTTCAAGTTTCGTGGAATCGAATTGTCTATCGGTCGTTGGTATCCTGATGTGTTTTTCCGCAGCCATCCTTCTTCGTTCAATGCGTCCCTTTTCGACTTGATCCCAAGACAAATTCCAGTCGTAATCGGTCCATTCTAGAAACTCTGTGACATCGTCCTTGTCGTGGGGCCTGAATACTTGGTCTCCTTGATATGATCTTGGGACGGGAATATACGTTACTCCCATGTCTTCGTCTTCGATGATTCCTATGGAAGAAATGACCGCTGCTATCGGCTCAAAAATCGTTACAGTGTCGGGTATCGTGATTTGAAAATCGCGAGGCAGCACAATACCATAAAAATGCAGTTCGCAATCAAGAATTCTTGCGTACAACAAAAGCATGTGAACGTGAAGCCATTCTGCAGGAGAAAGAAAATACCGTATCCTAGGTCGAACCTCAAAGAGTTTGATGTATGCCCTCACCACTAGGGCCTTGTATCCTTCGTTGTTGATGGTTGAGTGGATTTTTTTAGCCTTCGCTTTGAGCCCACAGTCGCAATCCTTCAGGAAAGAAATGCTCTTGCCAAAGTAGAGTGGGTCGGGTATTCGATCCTTTGAATGGAAGGAGGCCGCAATGGGACTTTTTGGATCAACGGCCTTGTCGAACTGACGCGCGTTTAGCACTTTCCGTAACTCATCTCTGTTCTTCTTGTCTCTTAGCAATTCCAATTCCACTCTCGATCTTTCGGGCTTACTCTTGCGACGAGCAGGCTTGCGAAAATCGTTGTTTCTCTTATTTTCTTTCGTCGCGTCCACTTCCATTGGCAGTCGTTTCGGCCTGCTTCTGCGACTACTGGGTTTCGAGAGGGAGCAGTCTCCGACCCTCGTTATTGGTTTTCTTTTGGCCATCTTCGAACCGCCCGATTGGCGTCTCGATGGATCCCTTGGTGCACTCGCCCGAGGAGGGTGCGGCTTTTGACGCTGTGTGACGGGTCCGCTAGAAGAATGCCTTTGCAAACGCGGTTTTAATCTTGAACTCCTTTGGGAATCGACATGTTTCGATTTCGGTGGTCTCGGTGGCGTTGCCCGAGAACCTTGTTCGGAGGCCTTGTCCCTTTTCGTGCTTGGTGCTTGAGACCGGATCTTTTGGCGATCCCGCAGAGTCCTTGCATCCCTGTGGGTCTCGGGACCGATTGAAGCATCTCTACTGGTTCTGCTCGTGGAGCTATCGCTGGGATATCGATCGGGCCGGCGCGATCCCCTTGCGGCCCTACGGTGTCTGCTCTCCGATGACCTAGATCTTGACCCGGTAGCGGAATGGTTCAGGGAACCGGGGGTGTTGCTCTGAAACAACTTCAGATCAGAGAGTCCCGATCGATCGTCCGTTCCCCCCGAACGATCCCGGGTTTGCACCGTCGATTGCTCGGGACTTACGTTTGGTGGCGCGCCCGAGGCCCCAACGTAGCTAATGATTGTTTCCACAACTTTTTCGAAGGCCATCTGCGTGTCCCGTTGCAAGGAAGGAAGACCAGTGTTCTCCTGGTGCTTGTGCAACAAAGACACCGATCCCTCCTTTGTGTTCTCACTCGTGTCTGGGTCTTCCACTCCCTCACTGCTTCGTCCCTCGGCGGTTTGCTCCTCGATGTCCTCCAGTATTCTGGAAGCCATCTTGAACGGCGAGGAGTTTTCGAGTGTCGTCGACATGCTATCGCTACTGAGCATTCGGTCCAGCGAGTCGAGCGGCGACCCAGACGAAAACACCGCCTTTCCCGATACCGATTCGTTGCTGTCGGGAGCAACGGCGCTCGCCGAAAGTGGGTTCGACGATGACGACGTGGACGTCAGGTACTTATTTTCTGAGCTGGATGAATCTTGCACCATGGTAAAGATGGGGTCCGGTGTCAGCTTTGACGAGGAGGAGGAGGAGGTTGGGAACCTTCGTTCCGAGCTGGAAGCATCTGGTATGGTTGAGATGTCCTGTATCGTGGATTTGCTGCTCCCACCGACACCACCGCTCGACGAAAGGGGATCGGACGGCGACGAGGACGGCACGGAGGCCTTTAGTCCGGAACGAGATGCCGTGCGTGTCGATTTGCTACTGTCGTGCACCGCCTCCGAGGTGTGGTTCGAGAGCGATGACGATGAAGTGGTTGTTCCCCTCCGTTCCGAGCTCGACGCGTCCTGGATGGTAGAAATCTCGTGTTGGTGCGTGGAATCCCGATCGGTGCGGGTCGTTGCTGAGAACGAGTGGATCGCATCCGACCTGTGGTCGGGGGCATCAGTGCGGGTCGTTGCCGAAAATAGGCTGTCATGGGCCACCGCCGAGACCGGATCCGACAGCGACGACGATGCGTTCGACTTCCTCCCATAGAAGGTTTCCACCGTTGTCGATTCGCTGACGGCACCGATGGTTGGGGTCGCGGTGGACCTCCTTCCAAAGAGAGAGTCCGGCGTCGACTTGTTGCTCCTACCAAAAAACGAGTCCGGCGTCGATTTGCTGCTTCTTCCGAAAAATGAGTCGGGTGTCGACTTGCTACTTCTCGCAAAGAGAGACTCGGGGGTCGACCTGCTGGCGGTAGCGCTTTGGGTTGGGTCGGACGAGGACACCGGCGGTGGAGAGGCCGCGTTTGTCTCCAAGTCGTTCAATGTTATGCCGGAGGACTTGCTGCTTTCGGGTGCTGAGGCGGATACGGATGCGGACCTAGATGCGGACCTGGATGCGGACCTGGATGCAGACCCGGACCCGGATTTGCTGCTACCAAGAAGGGCACTCGGGGTTCGGTCCGATGAAACGATCGACGAGGCCGAGACGGACGCAAAGGCGATTCCGTCAAAGCCCGACCGGATATCGTTCGAGGTGGACTTGCTGCTGTCGAGGGGATCGGGGTGTGCCCCGCTCGCAATGTCGCTCCGGTCCAGCCCATCAAAACCCGACCGGATGTCATTCGAGGTGGACTTGCTACTATCGAGGGGAGCCCCGCGTTCGCTCTGGTCCAGCGAATGAAGCAGGGTCGACGCCGATGTAAAGGCCGAGGTAAAGGCCGGTTTCTCCTCTTGAATGTCGGAAACCGAGAGCACCTCATCGTCGCCAGTCTCGTCGGCACCATGCCGAGACATGCGCTCGGACCCAAAAATCGTCCGATCGATGGAAGTATCGAACCTTCGGCTGGAACCGGAAACATTGGATTTTTCTTGCCCCCCATCCGTTCTTGGCGGCGGTTCTTCAAGCGTTTCTAGGGCGCTAAAAAACGAATCGGACGCCTGGATTTCGCTGTTTCTACTGCTGCTGCCGCCGCTACGGCCGCTACCGGCGGCATCTTCCTCCTCTTCTTCATCGACTTCTTCTTCGTACTTGTACTCGTAATCTTCCTCGTCAATGTTGAAGTCGTCGTCGTCAAATTCGTCGATGGCTTCCTGTGGGCTCCCTTCCCGAACGGAAGGGTCGTCGTCCCCTATCTGCTCGTCCGTGCTGCTCGAAAACTGCAGGGGCTGCCAGGTCGTCGTGTACTCGGGATCGTCCGAAACGCTGCCTTCATCAGGGTTTGTGTGCCCCCCCGACGACAGGAACGAGTGGTGGGGGGCCCGGTCGGCCCCCAGGTGGCCGCGGCTGTGGCTGTGGCTGCGGCTCAGGGAGGGGTCCCTCCCCCGGCCGATGCCGAGTTCCAGCGAACCGCTCATGGACGCCCACTCCGAGCCGTACCCACCGATATCGCCCTCCTGCGAGACCCATTCTGATCCGTCTTCGTTGTCATCGTACGAGACGGCGTCTCGATCTGTAGCGGTCCGTTCCGTGTTGCTCCGCGCAAAACTCGTAAAGTTCGAGGTATCCTCGACCTCAGAATGAAAGTCGTCAGCGTCGTAGTGGTCGAGGACTTCTCCCCTGGTCGGCGGAAGATACGATTCCGAGAGAGTCCCGTTGTCGCCGCCGTTGTCGCTATAGTCGGTTTCCCCGTGGCTTGATTCGAGCGAGATCGAATCCACCTTCGGTCGCGGCAAACCATAGCTTCCGGAACCGGTGTAGCTGGAAGCATCTTCGATCTCGGGAGGAGGAACAGAAATACCCTCTTCCCCGATCGGCGAAAGATACGAGTCTGAGAACTCGCCGTCGTCGTACGACTCTTCTTCGTAAGAAATCGAATCCCCTCCTCGTGGTTCGCCATCATCGTCGCTGTTTTCGTATTCTCCGTGCTCGCTACTACTGCTGGCATTGTTGTCGTCATTGTTGTCATCGTTGTGGTCGTTGTTGCCGGTGTCATTAATGTTGTCGTTGTTGTCGCTATTGTCGTCGTTGCTGTTGTAATCAAAGTCAAAGTCGCCAAAGTTCCCTCCAAAGTCGCCGCCAAAGTCGGTTTCGGAGGAGGAAGTCTTGTCGTCGAACTGCGATGGCTCGTCTCCTTGTTCGCCTTCACCTTCGCGTAGGCCTAGGTCTCTCGACCGCTCCCGCCCCTCGCCACCCGAGTGGTGCATTGTGGTGTAGAGCTCTGGCTCTTCCCCTGGGCCGGAATACCCCTGGTCCCATTCCCTCGACGCGGCGGAGGAGCTCTTCTTCAACCGGAAGCGTTCGTGGTGGGAGGAGGACGCGAACGACGAGCTCCCCCGCCCTGTCGACCACCCCTGGCCGTCGGTCGAGGGGGAAGCCGCCGGGGCCGAGGCAGACACAGAAGCCGGGGATCCACGGGAGCCGGGCGCGAAAGACGGGCTCGGGCCCCCGAGCGCGCCTGCTACCATCGGCGGCTCATCGACCCCTTCTCGGGCACCCTCCTCGGTGTCGCTGTGGCTGCGGCCGCCCGTGCTCCATGCAGACCCAGAGTGCGGGAAAGCCTGCGAGTGGAGGGTGTCATCGGGGTTGCCGCCGCCCCTCTCGCTTTCGAAAACATCCCCGTCGTAGAAGCTGCTATTGTGGATAATGCTGCTGCTGTTACTCTTGCTACTGTTCCTGCTGCTACTGCTGTTTCTGCTGCTGTTCCTGCTGCTGTTTCTGCTGCTGTTTCTGCTGCTGTTCCTGCTGCTATTACTATTGCTGTTCCTGCTACTACTACTGCTGTTCCTGCTGCTACTACTGCTGTTCCTGCTGATGTTCCTGCTGCTGTTCCTGCTGCTATTACTACTGCTGTTCCTGCTGATGTTCCTGCTGCTGTTCCTGCTGCTGTTCCTGCTGCTGTTCCTGCTGCTGTTCCTGCTGCTGTTTCTACTGCTGTTTCTACTGCTGTTGCCGCTGCTGTTTCTGCTACTGTTGCCGCTGCTGTTTCTGCTACTGTTGCCACTGCTATTGCCGCTGCTGTTCCTGCTGCCCTTTCTACTGCTGTGACTACTGTTGTTACTGCTGTTATTACTGCTGCTGTTACTGCTGCTGCTGTTGCTGTCGGTCCTGCTGCTGTTCCTTCTGCTGTTTCTGCTGTTGTTGCCGCTGCTGTTGCCGCTGCTGTTGCCGCTGCTGTTGTTGCTGCTGCTGTTTCCACTGCTGTTTCCACTGTTGTTTCCACTGCTGTTTCCACTGCTGTTGTCACTGCTGTTGTCACTGCTGTTCCTGCTGCCTCTTCTGCTGCTGTTGCCGCTACTGTTCCTGTTGCCTTTTCTACTGTTGTTACTGCTTCTGTTACTGCTGCTTCTGCTGGTGTCACTGCTGTTGTCACTGCTGTTATCATTGCTGTTACTGCTGCTATTGCTATTGCTATTGTCAATGCTGTTGTTACTAAAGCTGCTGTTGCTGTTGCTGTTGCTGTTGCTGTTGCTGTTGCGGTTGCTGTTGCTGTTGCTGTTGCTGTTGCTGTTGCTGCTGCTGCTGCTGCTACTGTTGCTGCTACTGATCTTGTTCCTGATCCTGATCCTGTTTCTGTTGGCGGTGCTGCTGCTTCCCGCGCTACTGCCTACGGAGGAATCCATTCTACCGAACCAAGGATCGATCGATGGAAGACCGACCGGCGATTCCCGGGTGGGGCGAAGGGTGCGGTTTGTGGGAGTCTCGGCTCCGTGCTACGGAAGGGTGCTGGTCACGAAGGGGGCAAACAAAGAACAAGGCGCCCGTGCCGTTCGCCATGGTCCGCCTGGCTTCCGGTTCCGTGGAGTGTGGTTCTTGTTCTGGTGTTTCCGTTGCTGCGGGCCGGGGACCAACAGTCAGCCGTTGTCGTTGTCGTGGTGGTGTGCTGTGGTGTTGCCTCGGCGGCGTTCGGGGAGGAGCGAACCGGGAGGAGAGACCGAACTCGGAAATCCGAAGGGCACGCGGGAGCCGGGTTCCGAGCCAAGAGGGAGGTTTTGTTTGTTCCACAAAAAATAGTTTCGGAATCATGATCAACAAATTTGGTAAGCGGAACGAGATGATTTCGTCCACTACCAGTACATAGGGTACACTACGTATGTTACTCTTGCTACGGATTCTCTACGGTATTTATTGCAGGCGCTGATGCAGCTGTATCGTCCCTGGGCAATTCGTAGGAGCTCCGGCGAAAGGACTGTAGAAGCTCTACAGAACGGTACGTACCTACCGGTACTAGTAACAGTAGCAACCGTACTCACCAGTCATAGATCGTTCCGTACGAGTACAAATAGCACATACCGGTACAGTATTGGTATTTTGCAACTAAAATTGCATTATCGTAATTGCCCCCATGCAACGCAAAAACAATACTGAATAGCCCTACCCCATATATTTCTATGTACGGAGACCAATATTCCTCTTTTTTAAACAGTATACTATAATTTGTGTGTAAATTAACTAACAAAAACAGTATTGCTTTTTTTCTTACTGGTAAGATTCACCAGCGTTTTTTGTTGCATTTTCGACCGTTGATTCCCCTTAAAACGTACATAGATCGTGCAATAATACAACTGCTGTTCATTCACACGAAAACTTCGACTGCAGCAGGAGAGCAAAGCAGCAAAGCAAAGCAATAAAGCAAAGCAATAAGAAAGAGGAACAGCAAGCAAGATGACACCCCCAGCACACCAACAACCACCAGCAGGACGCCGCGCAAGCGGCACTGGCGACCAGCCTGTCCCAAACTTGTATCGAATTGCACTTGACGTACGTGAGGAAGAAGAAGCAGCTCTTCGTCGAGAGCAACAGCAACAGCAGCAGCAGCATCATCAACAACAACAGCAACAACAGCAACAACAACAACAACGCGGACGCGTTACTAGTACTACTGGTACTACTAGTAGTCGAGGACGCGGGAGACGCGGGGGGGGACGCCAAGGACGCTTTACTGGAGGCGTTAGTACTGGAGGCGTTACTGGAAGGGGACGCGCTGGTGTTACTGCTGGAGGCGTTACTGGAGAACGCGTTGTTACCACCACTGGAGGACGCGTTGCTGGACGCGTTACTGGACKCGTTACTGGAGGCATTACTGGAGGCGTTACTGGAGGACGTGTTGTTACCACTGGTGGAGGCGTTACTGGAGGGGGACGCGTTGTTACTGCAGGACGTGCTGTTGCTGCTAGTATTGTTGCAGGAAGCAGACGCGTTGTTCGTAGACGCGTTGATACTAGTACTGCAGCAGATGGTGCTGAAGAAGGTCAACAAGCTGCTGCTGCCTTGGAAGAACTCATCAGAGTAATGGATGCTGAAGAAGAGAATGAGGAGGACGAGGATCCTTACTTTGCTGGTGGTGGTGCTGATATTCTTGGTGATGAAGACTTTCTTGCTGAGGATGATGTTCCTGGTGCTAATGATGGAGATGA